CTCTCCAGTGCACCACCGGGCCAGCCCTCAATAGTTACTTCTTAACATATTGCCTAACTATGCAGATCACATGATACCAAAGTGAATATTTGCAATTTTGATTTAAAAAGAAATAGATGTAAACTCATTATTAAATGTTGACTAAAGAGAGATATACACAGGCCATAAAAATTTGACTTTCTTTTTTCTGGTAACATGAATAATTTTTAAGAGTAGAATAGTTTTTGCTTATATTATATAACATAAAATCTTTCACTAATTCTAATATGCATACTTTTTTCACATCGTAACATTACTGAATTCTGAGTGTGTCAACAATCAGTGTCTTACACTTATAATAGGTAGTGCTTTTTAATTTTGTGAAGGAAAATAAAATAATAATGCATCTTTGAAAAGATAGAATAACACATTAGATGAAATGAAATATATCATAAAAATTTAATAATCAGATTTCCCAATATTTTTCATTATAAATATTGTCTGGCTAATCTGTATAAAACAGTAAAATAAAATCACTGCAAATGCTTGGCAATACTATACATTTCAGGGAAAAAAATCACTTTACTACCATTTGAAAGTTTTGAGAATCCATTTATGCTGATTCTACCTCTCAGAGAGGTTTAATGACTAGAAACATTTGACTCAGATAAAAGGTGATTTTGATTTTCTTTATTTATTTTAACTTTTGCAGACTAGTGATGGTCTCCTCTCTTTCTTCCCCCATTTCTGCATACAAGAAACTGCATGGACCATCATACAGCACAATGGCTCTGAGTTAACAAGAGTCAGAAATACTAATCCAGAGAACCCATACGCTGGGTTTTTCGAGTATGTGGCCAGCATGGAGCAACTCCAGGCCACAATCAACCTTGCGGAGCACTGTGAACAGGAGCTTACTTACTACTGCAAGAAGTCACGGCTTGTAAATAAGCAAGGTAAGTAAACCAAGGCATCAGCCATGCTGTACACATTGCATAGTGCACTTACCCTACCAGCTCCTGAGGATTTCAGCTCTGGCAAGCTGGTGGCACATAGCTGCTGGGGGTGTATGATCCCTGTATACTTAGCAAGCATGTCACAGTCTGGAAGTCACAGAGATGCTTTTGCCTGAAGAAAAGAACAAGGTCAATTTACACTGATCTTTGCTCAAAGCCTTGATTGCTTTCACACTATCTTCCAGAGTAAATGTACAGGAAAGGCTTTGTTCTGATACTCGATGAATGCACAGTGTTTATACCTTATAAAGGACAAGTAACACATAAGGTTTGTTTTATCATGGAAAAGAGCTAATAAAAATATGACTTAGTTTTCTGAAGGTGACTATTCCACATGACTCTTTCACGGATAGTTGACAGCCTCCGGGTATAACTGAAAATTAGAAAAGGCTGCTTAGAAACACAGTTGTTGCAGTAGCTCAAGCAGGAATCAGAAAACCATCTTAACTCTTCCTTTGATTCTACTAACCAGTCTGCTCTTAAATTCTGGTTTAGGTTTTCTGTATTCTCCCTTTAGAATATCTCATTATGTCTGAATATCTCAGGTCTCACCACCTGTGCTATAGAGAAGACCTTAATGACACAATTCTTGAAGTTACAGCAAGAGCTCTCCAACTGGTCTGCCAGCTTACCATCTCTCCATATCTTCTAACCATCCAATAGATAATCAAAAATACTAAACAACCTCATGCCACTCCCCGACACACTGTTTTCTAGCAGTGGTATTGAGGTATATTTTTATTTACAAATTAGAGAAGATTTTAAGACACCTGCACAATACAGCCACTTTGTTAATGTTTACTACAGTTTGTTGTCCCAGGAGGGGCTGGAGTTTCAATTAGAATATGAGTTTAAAAAGAAATTACAGATAGAAAAAATAAGTTCTATTGGTATACAGTCCACTAGGCAACTATAATTAACAACAATTTATTGCATGTTATCAAATGGCTAGACGGGAGGAGATCAAATGTTCACATCACAAGAAATGATTAAGTTTTACAATGATGAATACACTAATTACCCTGATTTGATACATGTGTTGAAATATAATTGTACACCGTGAATTTGTATAATCGATACAGTTAAATCAAAAAATGCATTTTATATATGAATATCATATGTCATATGGATCATCCACAAAAATGTTGAGCTGTTAGTCTGACATTTGAGCCTTTCACTTCCAATTAAGCATCTGTCCTATTTACTCTCCATCCATTTAATACAACCAGTCTTCTGGTTATTTTCTCCCCCATGCCTGAGTTTTGTCTTCTCTCTCTCCGTCTCCTTTTCATTCTTCTCCCTTCTTTTCCTCTTTTTCAGAATGTTCTCATTCTGGCTTTTACCCCTCCAATCCCATCTTGCTGGTCCATCCCCGTCTGTGATTAAGGATCAGACAGTCGTTGGGCAAAAAGCATAGGATTTACAGGTCTCTCACTTGCTAGGTATAGGACTTGGATAGATCAATCTTTGGTTCATGAAATGAATGAATGGATGCATGATAAATCTTGTCCTTTGTTTTCTCTTTTCTGAAATGGGGCCAATAACACCAGCTTCACGGGGATGTGGTGGGTATTGGGTGGCATGACACATACAGAGTGTGTGGAAGTGATCCTCTCTCAGTTCTAGCTCTCCAGGGCATTGTGGTTATGATTCACACACTACATTTAGAATGTAACTAGTTATTCATTGTCAGTGAATAGTGATCTTGCAATCTAATAGATAAGCAAATTTGGAAGTGTATTCTAGGAAGAATAAAATCAGTAATTACAGAAGAGTAAATGAATGCCATGAAACAAAATGAACTGAGTTGTTTACCTAGAAAATAAAGACAAAAGGGAATCATGCAGTGTTTATCTTTCTGTGTTTGGCTGATTTCACTTAGAATAATGTCCTCATGTTCATTCATTGTGTTGCTTACAGCAGGAATCTCTTTTTTTAAAGGCTGACTAATATTACATTGGGTATATATATCACATTTTCTTTATCCATTCATCTGTCGATGGACACTTGAATTGTTTCCATACCCCGGCTATTGTGAATAATGCTGCAATGAACATAAGGAACAGACATCTCTTCAAGGTAGTGGATGACATTATGCTGAGTGAAATAAGCCAGACGTGCAAAATCTTAGATCTCACTTACATGTAGAATCTAAAGAAGTTGAACTCACAGAAACAGAGACTAGAAGAGTGGTTACTGGGGGCTGAGGCTGGGGAGTGTGGAGATGTTGGTGAAAGGGTACAAACTTGCATTTAAAAGATGAATAAGTTTTGGAGACTTTATCAGTCCGTTTTGTGTTGCTGTAATAGAAATACCTGAGACTGGATAATTTATAAAGAACAGTGGTTTATTTGGCTTATGATTCTGGGACAGCTGCATCTAGCATGGGCCTCAGGCTGCTTCTACTGATGGCGGAAAGCAGCAGGCAGCCGTAGGGTACAAGCAGATCACATGGTGAGAGGAAGCAAGAGAGAGAGAGGGGAAGTGCCAGGGTC